GACCCATACCCAAATAAAGATATTCCAAACAGAATTGTCCAATATATTTGATATTTTAATCAAAAGGAGCATTTTTAATGCAACTAAAAGGAGTGACAAATAATATTCACCTTGCCAAGCATGAATTATTTCTCTGCTGCTTAGTGCCCCACAGCATTGCTTGTCTTGGTGCCAGATTCCTCTTCTTCTTTTGCTATGATCTCCTTTGTTCCCATTTATTTTGTAATCCACCTAGTTGTGGTTAAATATGTACTGTCCGTGACTTCACAAATCTTCCTGTTGGTCATCATACCAGATGAAATGTTCTAACAAGGCTGGCAAAATCATAACCAAAACATTTCGACGGCAGTGTTGGTGAAGATGACAAAGAAACAGAAATAAAATTATGCTAAGAAAAACAAGCATTCAAGCAAACGCTGTATGCTTGCAACTTGTGCCTCAATGACTCACATAGAATGTATTTTTCAAGATTCAGGTGCTTTATTTTTTCCCATAAAAAAGCAGGGGATGCATAAATCAAGATAAATGGTTTGATCTTATTGCTAATCCTGTGGAAGGCAGCAATGCAGGGAGGGATGTCCTTAAATGCTCCTATTCTATCCAGTTCCCTCCCCCCAAGTCTTGCAGATAAGTGAATGAAGATTGATAGTAAGTGGTAAACTAAACAGCAAGCAGCTTTTGTAGGGATCTATGTGAAAGTTTTCAAGAGAAAAATGAACTGATTTCCATAGTCAGAAGGATCCCCTACATCACTGTCACCAATTCAGTCATTTTGCATAATCCTAAACCATTTTGAATTATTTCATTTAAAACAGGAAACTGATGTTCAGTCATCCAAGTACAATATATAATAAATCTTGTCTCATTTGTAGCACACTTAAAAGCTATGCGAGGGAGAAAGAATATATATGCAGAATTAGAACAACAGAGCCACACAGATGTGCTCTTATATTTTAAGAAATATTTTACTGAGCTGATTGATTAGGATGGGTAGGATTTTTTTCGGTTGTGTTCATCTTACATTTATGTAGTCTAGCAGCCTTATTCTACACCACATATCCGTCAGTGTTCAGTGTTTCATGGCAATGTTAGGGATATTCACTCCCAAGCCAGATCTCACAAGCATTTCCAGTCCAACCTGCCCAGCACTCGCAGTTTCCACAGCTACATATGCCATTTCCTGGAACAAAACAACATTATCCATAATTGAAATTAAAAATGGGTTGCTCCGTGAAAGTGTAAACCATCACAAAATAATACCTTTTATTTTTCTTTCTACCTATTTTCCCCTTCTGGCTTGAACCGAAGCACTCTCAAGGCTTTAGACATTTATTTTCTCCTTAGATCCCTCCAAATTGCTCAAAATGAGGATTCTGAGAGCCACAAAACTGATTGGGGTACATCACACATACTGTAAGCCCTAAACATTTTCTGTATCTCTGTTTTAAGGAGATCTGATGATGAGCAAGAAGTGAAGTAAGATCCCCTAGGAAGTAATAACTGCTTCAAAGTAATTCACACAAGTTTATAGTTCAGACGGCATTTCGACTCAGATCTGCCCGGTCCAATTCTAGCACTAACCATTGAACTTATGAGTGATTGTGTGAAATTGCAGTTGTGTGTGTGTGTGTGTGTGTGTGTGTGTGTGTATGCATCAGTATACATGAGTGGGAAAGAATATAATACCAGATAAACACAGCCTGCACCATTTTGAGACAAGTCCAGGTGACTTGGAACCTGACTTGATACAGGGGCTTCTCAACATGCCCACAAAAATATTTATGATAGTGGTATTAATGATAGTATATGATATTATATGCTATTTATAATAGAGAACATTTATGATGTGTGACAGACTTTATGATAGTCTCTGTGTGTCATTTGCAGTTCTCGGGTGTAGTGGAATACTTAACTCCTTCCTCTTTCAAAAATCAGTTTTATAATGGGAAACATTCTGCTACAACATTCTAAGTGTCAACTACTATTCAGAGAAACTCAAACAGGCTCACACTTCATTATTATATGCAATATTGGATGGGTACCCTGAAATGGTACAGAAGGTCTCTCTCTCTCTCTCTCTCTCTCTCTCTCTCTCTCTCTCTCTCTCTCTCTCTCTCTCTCTCTCTGTGTGTGTGTGTGTGTGTGTGTGTGTGTGTGTGTGTAAAGGGGCAGCTTTCCTACTGACTCTTTAAAACTTTGTTTCATACACATAGCCCAGAGGTTCCCAACCTTTTGGGCATCAGGGACCGGTTCCGCGGAGAGAGGTTTTTCTATGGACGGGAGGATGCGTGGTTTTGTGTGCTGCCTGCATCTTGTGGATGGGGCTTTGCTTGTTTGTGCAGACCGGTTGCTGGCATGCCAAGAACCGGTACTGGTCCACAGACCGGGGGCTGGGGACCCCTGACATAGCCCCTTTCTTTTCCCTTTTCTCTCATTTATTCATGAAGGAAAACCATCTTTGAAAGCATCTCTTCTCATTTGTTTAGAAATCTTACTTTTGCAAAGCAATAATTGCAAAAGAAACAATTAAGTGTCCTTTGCCTCTTAGTTTATAGCACCTGCTGTTGGATGGGTGAGAGCATGCAATGCTTTGGGAGCAGCTAAAACATATTGTGTCTCCTCAGACAGCAGATGGGTTGACTGTGGAAATCATACAATACCTGTGCAAATAAGGCCATCGTATTTGTCACAATCCTGGTCATCACATTCACAGAATTCTCCTGAAATGTACCATTCCTGGGAAGAACAGATGCATTTTCCACAGTGACAGGAACCTGAAAGCACAGAAAAATTATTACTGGCACTCAGAGAAGAGCAGAATCAGGCACAGGACATCTTAGGTAATCAGTGCCTATCAATAAATGATTGTCTACAAGGAGGTCATTGTGATAAAAGCCTATTGGTAAGAAGGATGTTCCATGGGGGGGAGCTTTAACTTTAAAGGTTTCTTTTAGGATGCTCTATAATGATTTCCCTCCATTTTGATTTAATCAGGGTTTGCTTGGAAGAAGGACATTTTGTCTTGGTTCAAAAGCTCTAAAATCGAAGTCATCCTTCTCTGCGGGATTAAGGGAGAGTGGATGAAGGCCTGTGAGAAGATTTAGCAAAGGTAAAGGGAAGAGAAAGGACAAAACCCCAAGGTTACTGAAACTACAGAGATGTAATCAAGGAATAAAAGCAGAGTGAGGTAATAAGAACAGATCTCACTGGGCTGTATATTGCTGTGTGGAAATACAATCCTGCTCACGTATCCCACTTGCTTTTCTTTTGAGCACTTTTCCCCTCAAGCCAGAGTACAAACAGTTGGGCATTAACTGTATGAAAAGAACACCAAATGTCTGTGTTTCAATCTATCAACTGTGTTTTACCCAATGCCATACAAACACTGCACCAAAAAGTCTGTCTTTTTAAGCACCAATTTTTTTCAGAGTTAATTCAAGACTTGACTTCAAACTAATGATTTGAACAGGTGTGCAGATATTCTAAAATCCCACTGAATAGCAAACAATGTGCACAGATGCCAGATCATCTTTGAATCAAGTCTGACTCCTGATGACTTCACTGGTTTCCATATGACAGTAACAGATGCAGTTTCCCATTGCCTTCCTCTGTCTAGTATGTTTCTCTCTCCATCTAAGAGAAATCTCTGCTATTTCCTGGAGTCTCCATCTAGGTAGTAACCAGGCCAATCCTACTTTGTTTCCATACTCAGACAAGGTCGCAGTTTAGTTTTTCCAAGGTCAGCTAGATACTGCCACATAGCTAGGTTTACTCTGCAAAACCGACTAGCAAATAAAATTGTCATCCAAAAATGAAATTGTATTGCAGTTGAGTGCCCAGTTTATTCTTAAAATGTATGTATTTATATTTTATAAATATAAATGTGATCACGTGACTGTAGGGACACTGTAATGGCTGCAGCTTCAAGGACAATTAGAAATCTAATTTTTCAGTGTCATCAGAACTTTGAACAATCACTGAACAAGGACTATATATCACTTGGTTCTGCTACCCCCAAAATGTAGCCTGATAGTTATGTGGAAAGCCTCAGCAAAATCAAAAACAACTAGCACAATGAGTCCAAAGACCGACAAAAAGAGAGAGAGAATAAGAAAAAGCAGAAATAGGCTAAATTTACATTGCCTCTATTTCGATTTCAAAAAGACCCAGCTTTCTAGGTCCATACTGTGGATAATTAGCATGGATAGTCCCACAGGAAATGGCCTTTATTTACTCTGGCTTTAACCTACTGATGTACATAATAACAGTAGAAGAGAGATGGAAAATAAGACACCATGGGATCCCTCCTCTATGCTGCACCATGAAGGAAACAAGTTGCTGAATGAGATGATGTGCCCAACAATTTCTAGACTTTCAATAGGAATATATATATATATATATATATATATATATATATATATATATATATATATATATATATATATATATATATATATATATATATATATATATATATATATATATATATATATAT